AACAGAGACCCGCTCATGGCAGCATTTGCTTCGCCTCGCATTTACGAACAGCCAATAATTTCAGATCATTTCACGCTATGATCATTTGTAAGCCTGTTTGTAAGTTGGTCAGTAAAAGAAAAAGGAAAAAAAACCGACCCGAATTCGTTTGATTAAATGCCGAGGCATTGCGCTAATTGCTCCATTACGTCGATAGTACAGTCCTAATCACGTGTCACGTGACCGAATCGTAATTTCCGGTATGGCTTTCAATGACAAGTATAAAATTTCCTATTTATTCTTCTGGTCTCAAAGCATTTCGAAATGTCGTTGACTAGAATTCATTGTTATTAGTTTGAACAATACCGTACATTTACTTTCTTTTGAATATATCTGTTTCTCTGGATATTATTAGTCGAATTTGTTTTGCAACTAGCTTGACTTTTTTTCGTAGCCGAAGAGAAACTGTAGTAGAAACATGATGTTTCTACATGTTGTTTGAAATCACTGGTGATTCTTACATTCTGATTGGCTCTCAGCAGAGCGATTTATTCCCTGGTTGCACTAATTTTTGCTCTAAAGGGCATCTTTCTCTGTTTTACATACAACATAACAGGTAAAAGAGTTTCAGGTTCTGCTTATAACAAACCGGCTAATGGATCAATAAACTATTGATTATGACCAAAATCCTGTATTTAGGTGATGAAATTGAGAAGTAGTTTTAGAAGAAGAATTTTTATCGGAAGAAACAAAAGATTATTCTCTTGGAAGTAGTCTCTTTGCCCTCCAGTCACGCTCCAGTGGTTTTCCATACAAATCCTTGTTATTTTTCAAGTTTTCAAACTACCATAAAATCTCTGCCTTTCGGTTTAAGAGCCTAATATTGCACTCTTCTTTTTATGTCCAATTTGTATATATTAGTAATCTATATGCTAGTGTTTATATGCCAAGGTTTTAAAGTTTCTGGAGCCGTGAACGGTCCCTCTCAGCTGTCCGTATTGTAAAATTTGGACTGCTATGGGAATCAATCAGGGTCCCTCTTGTCATAGCGGACCAGTTCAGCATATAAGAAACATTTGTTTTACTCAAGCCTTCTACCAGGAAATTGGCACACAAAAGGCGATTTTTACAGAGGGGAGAGTTTCAAGGTTAAAGTGTTACGATACGTAATCAGGTCACTTACCATGTCCAAGTGCTGACTTTCTTAATGAGTGCTCGATTGAAATGCTAGAAAACACGTCGACTATGTCAAAATTAATTGACGTTTGTGTCCAAATGGCCCAGTCCATGCCCAACGACGTTGCAGGGATAAATAGCTCTCTTGAAATGCAGTAAGTTGGTAATTTATGTTCATGACTCATATTCATAAAAAGATACATGTGCTTTATATAAACCAATATCAAGTGTCCTGTCGTCAGATTGCAAGATAAAATTAATGTTGTTTTAATCTCCCTGCTGTGCATTTCATGCTCTTAAACAAGAGCTCTTTAATATTTTCCCTAATTTTCACGTAGATTAATTTGTCGTGAAACTCATTTCAGTCCATGAATTGCAGCTTGTTCACTTTATATTTAACTATAATTGTTATCGCTAATAACTATATCGTAGTCGAATTCTTGTTGGTAAAGGTGCGTTTAGCTCATCAAACTATGAATAATTCAATAGGATTTAAGCGTGGGTGTTTTGATAGAAAACGAGAGCCAAGAGCAACATAGAACTCGTACGCCTCTTTGGCTGTTTTACTCTCTTTCTCGCGTAAGAATTTATCACGACGTGTTCGCACTTAAACCTTGTAAACTAAAACCTTGGTGATTGCACCAGAAGATTTACCAAAGTTAATAAATTAAACACGTTTAGTCTTTTTAATTATGATTTAATCATTTTTTAACACGTTTGTCTATGCCGCGTCCACTCAATGCGAAACGTTTTTTTTAGCAACAATGTGGTAGTTATGTGAAATAAAGAATGTTTGGTCTACCTGCTGTATATACATTTCTTTTCTTTTTTTTAATATATGACAACCTGGCTTAAGGTAATTGCTATCCATACAGGACGATTTACAGAGAAGAGAGTGAAGTCCAGAGACAAAAAGGTAAATTCCATTGTGATTGATATAGACTTGAGTACCTTATTTAGTGACCAGTTGCACGATTGAAAGGATTTCAAGATGAAACTCTGCTTAGCTTATGAACAAAAATTCCTTGCATTCTAAACAACATCAATCTCCAAACATTTTGCTACACATGGTAAGGCAGTGTCCACACTACACAGGAGAAATTTAAAACGCAGCTTTACTTCTAATCCGTCAGGAAAACGGAGCTTTTCGAGAACGCTCCTCAAACCGGCGGAATTTGAAAACTCTGAATTTTTTTTTTCTTGTGGACAGAAAACAAAAGCTCAAAAGTTCTGCATTCACAGAAAAGGAGAACGCTGAAATTGATAGTTTTCCTATTATCGGAAAATAAAGAATATTGCCAAATTTGCACTCAGTCTGATGATACTATGGGCTTATGGTCTGGGGACTCTATGTCTTCACTTACTGACAAGCGGTCAATGTCGTGGTTCAGGTTACATAAGTAAAGAGTGACCGAAATCGAGATCCGGAGGGGTATACTCCAAGAAAACTTGGGTGGGGGTGTGCGGCCCGCTTCCCAAAACCCTTACGCTATTTATGCCCAAAATCTGCGATTTTCAAAACCCTATTTATGATCTGACCCTAAATAAAGACCCTGTTTCATACCTGTCTTATACTTAGTTCCCGATGTTAAAGGCATCGTGAAGGGCTTTCGTTGATCATTCTTATCGATAAAAATGAAAGAGTAGGTTCTATTTAGACCCAAATGGCTAAAAAACCATACCCTTTGGGGCCGCACATACCTATGAAGCCGATATGAGGGAGTACCCCCGCCCCGCCATCGACAGAGCAATGTTACAAAAAAAATCACACAAAACTTGACGGCTATTGCGCCGCTAAAGACATAGTTGCACTCTGATTCAAGGAGGATTGTTACATAAAGAAATTAAACGAGGTACCCTTCTAACTTAAGCGATGATTTCATTAGTAGTAGAGATAAATTCAATCGCTTAAGTCGCACCCGAGAACCAAGTCAGTGAATTCACCGTGCAAAACATATCATGTTGATAACAAGTGATACTGAACAACCTTGCCATCAAGATCCTGACATAAACAACGTTTGTTTTCAACCCCCTCCCCCTCCCCCAACCGCCCACTTCTGCGTTACAGTTCTGAACACAAGAGTCTTTTTTTGCGCAGTTTTTATCAAGTTTTTATCACTTGTTCTACGTACACATTTTTATCAATGTGAACTGATATCTAAGAAGTTGTATAAGGATTTATTTACCTTTGCTAGTGAATTTACCGCATTCGGCTATATGTGGGCGGGAGCCACGTAATGCAGTTCTTAACAACAGCCTGGTAGTTATGTGAAATAAAGAATGTCAACTCTACCTGTTGCATTTACATCTTTTTGTTTTCAAGTGTAGAATCCTCGCATTAGGTAATTGGCACCCACCGAGAATACAAACCAGTTTGCTGAGAACGATCGAATCTTTAAGAGTGGAGTATAAAGAGACATGGTGGTAAGTTACGATGCCACACATCTTTTACCTGTTTTCGTGACCATTACTAGGTTAACGACGCCTCGAAAAGATAAAATTCTTACTTAAACCTAGTTACGATGCTTTTATTTTTATTGGGATTAGCTTTATATGAGCTTTTGGGAAAATATGATACAATTACTGTTTCGCCTGTGAGGAAATGTTTATTACTCAATGTGGCTAAAATTCGCTTTGCTTTCTCCTTGACTTTGTTCAAGGGCCCGGAATAAAAGGTAAGCACACACATTAAATCGAATTACCACTTTTACAAAAAAAGGGGGGGATTATCACAAAACATCGGTGTTGGTGTTTATATTAGTTGACAAGTCATTTGATTCAGCTTTCACTCGAAACTCGTTCTGGCTTAAAATGTGAGAAAAACGCTTCACAACGGACTGCTTGCCCTTAAGAAACAAGAATCAGCTGTGGTAAAAATCAGTTTTCCTTGATAACGTAATAGTATTAAACTGGGAATATACGAGAAAGAAAATCGATCGAAAAATACAACGTACAATTGACCTAGTGAGAATGGCTGCTCTCAGTTCGCCTCTCCCTATCTATGTTTCTTTTTGTGTGTGTGTGTGTGTGTTTTTGTTTTTTGTTTTTTTTGTCCTCATTTTTTCTGGTACCGTTCTTATTGACTTCTCTATCGTCGCACGCTCCTCAAAGATTGATGTGCTTCATGAGGAGCAAATATTACCAAATAAGGCAAAATTCATAGGTACAATAAAACAGCAAAGGTCTAACAATGAAAGACAGACATCTTCCGCCAATATGGCCAGTCAAGTTAAATACACTAAACTAAACAGCGCGACACTTTAAATACAGAAAACATCTGATGTCTGTCAATACCATCAATGAGGAAAACCTTGCGCAAATCATTTATTTCTTCTCAAAAATTCTTCTCCGTCTCTAAACGCGTTAGGTCACTAACGACTTACTTGCTCATAAATTTGGTAAACTGACACTTCGGAGGCACGCCATAATATATCTATCAACTTTATTGGTCACAAAATTACAATATAATTAAAAGAAAAAAAGGACCAATAGGAATTGCGCGAACGGGAAAATAAAGTTACCCATGCGAGGCGCAACCCTAAAAGCTAGTAAGAATGGTAATAGAAAATCTTAAATTTGATAAAAATAAGGACGATAATGACAATAATAAAATCGTTATTTACCCTCGGTATTCATTTGACAAAATAGTNGAGTCAATTCGAGTCAATTCACTCTTATTTCTGTAACCTGAAACTCGTTCTTGACAAAACAGCGAGCAGATAAAACATTTTACAACCGACTGGTTCTCTTAGGAAAGAAGCATTTTCTTTTATATTTGCATATGCATAATATAATCAGATCTCGTTCTGAATATTATGTCCTCGGATCGAGTAATTATTAACGAGCAAACAAACTTAATAAAACAAAATCTTTATGAGCCAATTGAAAAGTGATTGTTAACTTTTTGCTTTCGTTCTTATCTAGTCGACCTAACTCTTTAACTGTGACACGCTCCACACTTTAATAGCACGCTGATTATAAAAGAACACAATTAAATTCAAAATGGAAACTAAAGCGTGGGTGTGTTGATTGAAAACAGTCACTGTCTGACGCTATTGACCGCCAGGCATCAGACACAAGACTAATCATTCCATTCAAATCTTGTTCTTTTTCTCTATTATCGACGACGAGGAAATTTTAGAAAGCCGCGAATTTTTCGTATAAATAGCGCCATGGGATGCAAAACTATTTCTTAAAACCAATTTTGACTGAGCTAGTTCGCCACCTGCTACGAGCTTATGAAAAGTCTGAGGTACAATTAATTAAATCGTGTAAATAAAACCCGCAGCAATTAGCAACAGTCAAGTTGTCATGTGAATTTAAAAAAAAAATGCGTTTTTCTCCCGTTGAATATCGAGATAGGCCCTTTGTTCTAGATGAGGGTTTTACACTCCCAACACCCAGGTTACAGTAAAGGAGGTTTCAAGCGTGAACTATAAAAGGCCGGAAGTTGGTATTTGCTGGGGCTGGTTTTCAAAAGAAGTGTTTTTATTAACTATCTAAACATTGTAGATAAATAGATTAGTCTTGGGTCCGAGTTTAATTAATGTTTGTGCTTGAATAGTCCATTGGACGTCGTGGCACTTCAAAGTAGCGCCTTTTAAATAACTTAAGTTTCGAGACGAATGAAATTCGGTTCAGGTACCAATTCAACTGATTCTCAATTAATAGTGTTCACTTCTCTGTGTTTCAAATTCAGGTACACAGAACATCGCCACTGTAATTAACAGAAACAAATTATCTGTCGACGGCAAACGGAAAAGAAGCGTAAGACATTTAGTTATTATCTTAGCGTACACCGTAAACTCCCTGGACTTATCCAACTTCGTGAGGGCTTTTAGATGGGCATATAAACGGAGGAGGCGGGGGGGNCTTATAACCAGAATAATAATAATTTTAAAAAAAACACGTTTCAAAACGAGCTATGGCTGTTTTGATCAAAATAGGTTTTTCAGTTACTGGTTTTTAATTAAGATTTAAACCATCATAACAAAACGAATTCAAAACAAGGAAAGCTAGAAGGGGGCGTATATCCGGGGGGACTTGTAACCGAATGTATCTTTTCGTTTAGAGATAGATGGGCCTTTAGCGGGCGAAGGGGGCGTGTAAGCGGCAGTTTACGGTATTGTAACAGTTCTAGTAACACCAAATCAAGCGAAATGGGATCAGGTAAAGAGTACAGCAAAAGCTATCAAAACTTCAAAATCATAGATCTGATCGAACTGAGCGTCAGGTAATGAATTTCTGAAAGTCTTGTAATACTGCTATCCCTTAAATCGTTCATCATGAATCAATTTGTGTCGCCATGACACTAAAAAACAAGCAGCTTGCTCTAAGATCAGAGACACTTACTTACCATCAAGGCGATCTATGCACAATTTTACGTTTTTAATCACAACTCCATTTTTCTTTTTTTACTAATCATCCGAGGGTGAGGCCCGGTATGAAGATCCCAAGTTCTATTTTGTCTTTTTTCTTTGAAAACTTGACTGCGGTAAGATACGATTGAAAGGGCACAAATGAGCCTCGCTTCTTTCATCGGAAGGTTGTATGGATTGTGAAATACACGGCGTGCTCCGTCAAAATTGTAAGTCGACCCAGATGCGTTGTATTCGGGTTACGAACAACATATTGCGCAAATATAGATTTTTTTGGCTCGAATAAAGGTGTCAGAATTCAATCTACGGCTACATCCAAATTAAAAACTCAGTTTGATGCAGATGCCAAGTTACCGGTAACGTACTGATACGACAGGAACAGGGTTTACCAAGAAAGTCAGTGTTACAATAACTTTTACAAGTCGGTTTGCTTTTAACATAAAACTCTTTTTCTTCGAAATCCAGTCAGTGAGCTGGCCAAGAAAAGTTACCAAAATTAACAATGGCTTGTCTTAGGAAACAGAAAATATAATCAGACCATTGATGGGGGGTACTCTTCATATTTCCCGCAATTCATAAACCTTTCCCACATAGTAGAAAGTTCTGTTTAGATAAAGCGCTCGTAACCTCCTCACAATCAAACAATGCAAGCCATAAAAACGGCGATATATGACATGTATTGATAGAAAACGGACAATATGTCAACCAATATTGTCAGCGAAGGAGACAATGGCCCGATGGGGGTATTATTTTCCCTCTGTGTTGTCTTTCCTATTGACACAGTTATTTACAGTGTTCACCCTCCACATGTATCTCAATAATTTTTTTCTCTCTCCCATCGTTTGTCTCGTTTGTCATCACTGCGTGTCCACCCCAAAATTCAGTACATTGTGCCTGTGACGTCACATCGGGGAATCAGACCGTGTTATCCCCCCTCCTCCATTACCCCCATGAAAAAAGAAAAAATGGCGCTTTCAAACACCAGTCGAGCGGAAGCACGGAATGCAAAACTCTTTCTTAATATCTTAGTTAAGGTAGCTTTAGTTGACTATAATAAAGTACCCAAATCCCTAATCCAAAAACAATTTTACAGACATTCTTGACATTCTTAGCACCACATTTGTGATACATGGAGATACTAATCAAGCAGAGTGATTTATTTCATTGGAGACGGAAATTTTGGCAGAGTTTCAAAAAATTCTGTACATAGGGTTCAGAGCGACTTTAAAGTTTTTTTTAAAAATTTAAGGTGGTCCTGAAGCCTATGTACAGAATGTTTTAAAAGTCTGCCAAAAGTTGCGCCTTATCATGCTTATCAAAATTTGATAATATAAAAGAATTTCACCGCGCGCTTTTTGCATTATAAGCCCCTAAAGCTGTAATTAAGGGTGTTTTTAGCAGGTCATACTGTTGCTATGGTACCCATTGTGTCAGGAAAATAACAACGTGTTCACCAATGATTAGGCAGTATTTTGATGCCATGATTATAGCATCAAGTGGTAAAGAGTAGTTATAACGACCCATCAAAATCTAAGAGCTTGAAACTGTTTTCAGCCGCCTTAAAGCCACTCATACAAAGATAAGCACAAAGGAAAAACAAATACCTACAATCATGGACAAAAGTCTTGGGACAAATTTGCACTTTTGGCGCTTTTGCACACACGTCAGACGCCAATACAACTTCATCTGCCTAACCTCGCCCCTACTCCCCATACCATGTTGAAAACTAGTATTATGCAATTTCAACTGATTTTCAACATTGTGTTGGGTGGGGAGGGGGCACAGCAACGTGTTTTTAAAAGATATAGCAGCGTTCTTTTCAAACTTCAGTTCTAAAACACAGATAATTCGTTACATTACATAAGTGT